TTCACCACCATTGCTGACCATCTTCCTTAAGACCCAGTGAAATGAAAGTACAGAAAAAGAAGTAGAAAGCAATTAACTCAGCATGGTGAAGAGATTGTAGGTAAATGGGACATCATAATGGACAAGATTATTTCAACAGATTTGCATAATACACTGTATCTGGGAGTGTGTGAATAGAACTCAGAAAAGTGCAACCTAGAATATACTACGGGAACACTACAAAAAGGGCAACTGGATGTAATTCCAGAGAGATTTGGAGTACATAAATAATAGGTGCGCATAATTGAATAAGTGAGTGGAAAGTGGAGTTAAAAGCAGGTGTTTATTCAAAGTTGTTAAGGAATGGGGACTCTACTTAAAATTCTTATGTTCCAGCTCATCCTGGAATTTACTAGTAGGCATAACTATGTAGCACTTCTTTTAAAAAAATTGAATGATTTCATTGAGGAGAAAGGTAAAATTTTTCCATATAGATGTTAGTACCCCAGAATAAATCCTCCCTTTATTCTGAAATTCGAGCAGATCCAGTTTTACCACAAATAACCTGTTTCTGACTAAACAAAACCTGGTAGTTAGCCCACCTTTCCTCAACTTAGCTTAGAGAGAAAGGAAGCATCCAGTCTGAATTCCTACTCAGGAGAGAGACCTAGTGGTGAATAAGTCTGCTCAGTGGGAGACCACCCACTATTCAGTGGAAACTCACACTGGCTACCCAGAACCTCAGTCTTAAACACAGATAAATAAATAGTGGTTGATTGGTGCAATGGGAGTACATAGAACAGCATGGTTGAATATCACAAAGTGTTGAGATATAGAAGATAGACACAAGAGAATATACAACATTTATTAAAAATGATATCAATAGACAAAGGTAAACAGTAATGGTTGGGAGAGGGTATTATATGATAACCATATAAAAATAGTGATTACTCCAAAAGTTAAGATACTGGTTACCTTTGGGGATGTGGAATTATAATTGAGAGAGGGTACATGAAAGGCTTTTGGGAGTACTGGCATTCTTCTGAGTAGCTTTTACATAGATGTTCTCTATAATGAGCATAACATTTATGTATTACATATTTTTCTGTGTGTGTGTTAAATTTTGTTAAATTTCCCAGTAAAAAATATTTAAAGTCAAAAGGAGATCCTGGAGGAGATTGAGGCAATTCTGTAAACCAGCATACCTATTTTTTAAAGAGAATTCTGAGAATATGATGTATTCATAAAATAGGAATAGGGTGCTATGAAAAAAGAAACAATTAGAGGACAGAGAAGAGCTCAGAGGTTAAAAGTATAATTGCTTATCATAAAGCCTTAGTGAAAGGACTAAAATATAAATTGATTTAAAAAAAATCCCAGAATGTAAAGGAAGAAGAGTAAGAGACTAAGATTTGAGAGAAAAGAGTAGTAGAAAATCAATCCGGGAGATCCAATTGCCAACTAATAAGAGTTTCAGAAGAGAGAAATAACCAGGTGAAGTGGGGAAAATAAAGAAATAGCGGAAGAGAATTTTCTGAGTTAAAAGATGTAAATCTGTAGTTCACAAAGTGCGCAGCACACTGCATGTAAGAAAACATTTGAGCAATATCAAAATGAGGATGTAGAGCTTGGAAAGGTGAGGGGGATGGAGAGAGGACACGTTGACCTATAAAACAGGATTGCCAATGTCTCTCACCCATGACACTTGATATTACAGGACCCTGGAGCGGTACCTGTGACAACTTTTGAGGGGAGATGATTTCCAACCTTGAATTTGATACCTTTACAAAATAAAATTGAGAAGGAGAGCAAAATAAAGGCATTTTCAGACAGCACAGTTAAAATCCACATAGTCCTTCCTGAGATTATATAAGAATGATTCAGTAAAACAGGCATAAACTAAGATATAGTATGGGGGAACAACGCGTACAATTTAGGAAAGCAGGAAGAGAGAAGTTTGAAGATGATAGCTGTACAGTATGCGAGAAAATAGCCAGCTTGAGAGGAAGGCCTCTAGGGTGATGAGATCTAGGAGCAACTCAGTGTATCTGTAAGTGACATTCCCGAGGGGCTGGGAGAGAATAAAAATGATGAAAGAAAAACATGGGAGACCATAGAAAGGCAAAGATGAGGACCACTGAAACACTGCATGTGTTTAAACAATTGATGAGAAGCCTAAGACTGGGCAGCTGGTAAGATAGTAACAGCATCATTCACTGAGTGAGTCAAGATATGGTGCCATAATCACACATTGAAGTAATAATGTTGATGGAGGTATTTTGTCACAGTTGTCTTGATAGCTGTTTTAAAATAGTTGCCAAATAAAAAATTACGGTCTTCTGGTTTATTAGCAAATAATTTACCCAAAAGGCATCCTTAAACATTTCTCTGTCCTATATGTATTCTTTGTCCCTAAATATGAGGGACTTTTCCCTATTAAATTCCATGTTGTTTGAATATATTACAAATACGCAAATCTGTGTTATCTTTTATGATTTCCAGTAACTAAAAAGTATTTTAATCTGTTAGAATTAATCTAACATCTAAGTTACCCTCTAAATTCATCATCATATATTACCACCATTATGAAATTCTTAAATGTGAGTAATGATGAGTATTGGCGCTATTAGAAATTTAACTGTGATTTTGTCGTGTAGCTTGAGAGAAAATTCTGTCTTCTGTTCCTCTAAGTGTCTTCTCTAATACCCAAGAACTTAATGGTAGAGACTCAGGAAGCCTACATAAGGCAGATGGCTCCTTCTTCTAGATATTTAGATGGAAAACAAAGAAGATCATTAAGCTACCAAATCATTCTTGAAAGTATATTGCCATTTTATATGAATGGTTATTTTATGTGAATCTGACAAATCATTTACTGATAGAGGTCAGAAAAATGGTTATCTTTGGAAGTTGGGTACTGATTGTGAGGGCCACATGACAGAGATTTTTGGAATGCTGGAAATGCTCTATATTTTTATCTTGGTGGATTTGTGGGTGTATATACATATGTAAGAATTCATCGGAATGTACACATATGACTAAATGAAAAAAGTGAGAAATAAGTGCCTTTGAGATGCAGGGTATTGAAGGTACAAAGTGAGTTACTAAAGTATTAGCAGACATGTTGTTTAAAGTCAATGGTGACACTTTCCCCCCATTTATTACTTTCTGTGATAGAAGATGACTTAATTATACAACGTAACATGTATTCCCATAATGTGTAAGTATATAAAGTAAAAATTGAAGTGCTGCTTTCTTCGAGGTAATCACTGTGCACAGTTGTCTTTTCACTTTCTCTATGTGTACAATAATATTCCTTAAACAAATTTTTAGTAGTGTCAAACATACATTATTCTGAAACTTGCTCTCCCTCTACTTAACAGCATGTAATAGATATCCTCCCATATCAGATTGCAGATTCACGTGATCCTCTTTGAAAATTGTGTGTTCTGTTATAGTCTGTTTATGCTGTAATTTATGTAGCTACATCCCTAGACTTTTGAGGTCATCTTATATTTTTACTAATGGATACAGTGCTCTGATAACCTTTTTTCTTTTACATCTGTACTTGTGTATTTATACAAGTATTTGTTACAGGATAACTCCAGACACAGAAAACCTAGTTAAATTTTGATGGTTACTACAGAATTGCCCTTCATTCCCAGGACCTATGAACCATAACTTTATCTACATGGGATAGGATCAGTTTTTAAAAGCGTTTGCCAATTAAATAGACAAAAATGGAACCTCATTGTTTTGATTTGCTTTTCTCTGGTCACTAATGGAGTTGAGCTTTCTTTCTTATGTTAATTACTAATTTGTGTTTATTTATTTTTTTAATTGTCTATGCTCTACAGCAGGTTATCTTGTTTAGTTATCAGGGTTCTTTGTATAGGGCATTAATTTTTGTTTCCGTTATAAATGTGGCAAATATCCAATTTGATTTCTTATCTTACAATTTTATTTGCGGTAGCTTGTACCATGTGATGCAATAAGTCTTTTCCTTTGTGGCTCCTTCATTCTGTGTTTTGCCTAAGAAGATCATCTGCTTAGGAACAGCAAACTTTTTTTTATATTTTCTTCTGGAATACTTACAGTTTTGTGTTTTACTTTTAAATCACTAATCTACCACAAGTTTATTTTTGTGAGCTAAAGATCCAAATATTAATATGCATTTCTCCCCAAACAGCCAATTATTCCATAAATCACCCAGCAGTCTATCCTTTCCTCACTAAAGTGGAAAACCAGTGCTAGTACTTTATGAATGATTGACAGGTCATAAAAGTGTACTGTTCTTTTTGTGCAGGGTGGATGTGAGTTTTTAAGCAAAGTTTAAGAATGTGGGGTGGAGCTTATAGGAAGGAATAGAAGACAGGAGTAGGGTTGCCTTGGGAGTTAAACTGCCTTGGACAGGATTAAAAGTACAGATGGGATAGAAGAAGAATATACATAAGGCAAACATGAAGTAAGAGCTATATAAATAGCAATCTAGTGTATCAGTTCAACAGCTTATTATATTATGCAAAATGTTATTTCAAAGGAATTCTTGTTTTTTTTTTCTCCTTTTATATTTTTATTTTAATTGACTATGGCACAGAAATCACCACTTAACTCCTAGAGGAAAATGGGCTGTTTTTAGTTAACATCAGCTTCAAGTATATCTCATGTTTAATCTTAGACTTGTATAGTTAAAATCATTAACATATGAATGAGAATTGTTTTCACTTCTGGAAGAGTCTGGTTGTGTGACAGTGTACAAAATGTAGCTGAAGAAAACGACTCCTACATATGTGAAGTACCCCATCTAGCAGAGAGAGATTTCTGGAAAATTGGGTACACATGTAGAGGAAGGATGAGGGTGTGTTTTTACCGGACTAGATTGGAAGTATGCTGAAAGTGAGGTTGTCAGTATAGTTTTTAAATTGTTGATCAATAATAGTCATGATAATTGAAAAAGATTATTTCATTGTCTTCTGTCTTCTCCCCGCCCTCACCCCCCAATCCTTCCCTTTTTCTTACAGATCATACATCAGTTGGCGGGCTGGGAGACAGTTTTTATGAATACTTACTAAAAGCATGGTTGATGTCAGATAAAACAGACCATGAGGCGAGAAAAATGTATGATGATGCTATTGAGGTAATTCTTGTCGGAACAGTTAATTGCTTAACATTCTGAATATACAGTGTGTTTCATAGTGACCACTGAACACCTTATGTGCATTTTGTGATATGTCCTCATGTAGAGTTTTAGTATATTAATATAAAAGTCTTGTATTATTTTCCTTTATTGTGGCATTTTAAAGAAATTGTTGAAGAATATGTAACATTTATGAAAATTTAAATGACTTTTAGTTACTGTCTACACAGACTGGATAAACTTCTGACTTCATTCACATACATTTCCATAAACATTTCTTCTTTCAAATGACATTGAACCTACACATGGAAAGCTTTATGGATAAATAATAAGGGCAAAACACTTATCTAGTATTTTCCACACACCATGCTGTTGTAACCCCTTTTACACATATGAAATCATTTAATCTTTACTACCCTTTTTCACTTGAGAACTTTATGGCACAAACAGGTTAAGTAACTTGCTCAAGTTTGCAATCACTAGTAAGTGATGGAGCCTGGAACTGAACAGCCTGACACCAGGGCCTGTGCTTTTAACCACTTTACTGTATCATTTCATATTTATATAACCTCTTACCACAATGTTGTGACAGTTTAAAACTGGAATAGGTTTCAATCTTGGAAGCACTTATATGTGATATTTCCAAGCAAAAAGTATGAAATAGAAAAGTGTGTTACCCACTTAAGCTGTTTTCTGATCTAGTACAAACTCATAGCCCTTTAGTAATTTTAATCAGTTTTTGAAGTTGTATTGGGGTGCCTGAGTGGCTAAGTCAGTTAAGCGTCTGACTCATGATTTCCACTCAGGTCATGATCTCAGGGACATAACATCAAGCCCCCTGTCTGACTCCACACTGTCAAGATTCTCTTTCCCTTTCTCTTTGCCCCTCCCCTGCATCCCTCTCTCTCCCTTTCTTTCTCTCTCTCAAATAAATAATTTTTAAAAATCAGGTATTAAAATTATATATTTTTAAAGTTTTATTATGTATTTTTATTGAAGTATAGTTGGTGCATAATTTACATTAGTTTTAGGTGTATAACATGGTGATTCAGCAAGTCTTTACATAGTGTTATGCTCACAACGGGTGTAGCCACCATCTGTCACCATACAATGCAATTACAGTACCATTGACTATATTCCCTTTATCCCTGTGACTTATTTCCATGATTAGAAGCCTGTGTCCAACTCCTCTTCACCCATTTTTCACATCCTCCCACCTTCCTCCCCTACTCTTGATATTCTTAAGTTTTGTTTTCTCTCCATTTTTCTTCATCAAAGCTGTTTGGGATTTTCAAAGAAACTCATTTAGGCTTTGTTGATTTTGTATAATTTTGTATATAACAACACCATTCTGACTATAATTGATGATCAGTGTTCAGAGTTATAGTTATCATTGTGTTTTTAAAATTAAAGCAAGGATCTTATTACCCTTTTTATAGCTTTACTTTTGGGGGGAACTAATTCCCTACAGTTGTTTATAGAATGCATAAGAGTTAAACTGATATTTGGCATATAGTGTTTAGTTCATTGTAGGCATTCAGTTAAATGTTTTTTTTTTTTAATTTTACTTATTCATGAGAGACACACAGAGAGAAGCAGAGATACAGGCAGAGGGAGAAGCAAGTTCCCTGCAGGGAGCTCAATGTGGGACTCAATCCCAGGACCCCAGGATCATGACCTGAGCCGAAGGCAGACGCTCAACCACTGAGAGCCCCCTGAGCATCCCTCAATAAATGTTTCCTGAGTAGCCATCTTTTGAGTGCCTTACATGCTAGATGCCATGAGTCCCACAAAAGATGAAAAACATTGTCCTTGCACTCGGAAAACTAATCTTTACATTTGCCCTTCAGCATATTATGATTAAAACAATAACAAAAACTTACATATCAGTGGTAGGTCCCGTATTTTGCTTATTACCCTTTCCTTACTCCCCTGACAGCCCAAATACAAGTACCTACCATTTATTTACAAAATGACTTCTTCTTCTTTTTTTTTTTTTTATACAAAATGACTTCTTAACTAAACACTTACTGACTGCATGCTACACTTTAGGCCTTATGGAGTATAAAATGATGAATGAGGCATAATTCTTAGAATTCTATAAAACAGACGTTATCACTATAAGGAATGCACAGTAAATTTTTCCAAAGCTGTTTGTTACTGAACTTGTCAGAGAATAACACACAAAAATGTGGGTTCTTATTCCTCCTTATTGTCAGAAAAGTGTAGTCTCTAATCATGTATAATACTTTCTACCTTTTTATCAAAGAGAACTAAATGCAATTTTTTATGCTTTTCCATGGAATGATCTCTAAAGGTAGAGAAGTAATTGATAGCCCCTCTTAGCAAAGTCTGTGAGAACATAGTCCAAAGGAACAAAGCTTTTAAAAATCTCATTTTTAAAGTTAAATGCACTTGTTGACTCTACTTTGTGTTACATTCAAGTTTAATATAAAATATTTCTCTTCATCCCCACATCTTTTGAGTAACATTGACATTCCAGGAAGATGGACTGTGTTTATCACGTGGCCTCTCCTAGCCATGGCACAGCAACGTGTGAGGAGTTAAGTTTGAACTTCTAACTACTTATGTAAGCTTTGTAACATACAAGATGTACTTTGACAAGAGGTATAGTTACATGGAAAAGGAGAAACCATTTTAACTAATTACCCAAGCCATATTTTTTGGATTAATTTAGATATTCTTCTTCAATTTTATTGAATAAGATAGGAAATAAATTGATAGAGCCTTTTAGGTTATATGTTGTCATCATGATGTCATTTGATTGTTATGAATTCCATTTAGCTCTAGAATAAAAACCCTGTAATATTGGTAGTGTTCTGTCTTTAGGCCAGTCTTCCCTCTCCTACCTTGTCTCTGTTGTGGTGATGATGGGGTGAGGTATTCATTCAAGACCCTATGTGACTTGGCTATTCTCTAAAACTTACTTACTGCAAATTAACTCTTCCAGTTTGGGTAGGTTACTGATCTGTAGAATATTATATTACCAAGATTTTATGATAGCTAGAAGGATGTAGTAAGTTTGAATACCAACACTTTGCTTCTAAAAATTTGAATATCTTCTCTTTCTTGTAGGCTATAGAGAAACATCTTATTAAGAAGTCCCGAGGAGGTCTCACCTTTATTGGAGAATGGAAAAACGGGCACTTGGAAAAGAAGATGGGGCACTTGGCCTGTTTTGCTGGGGGAATGTTTGCACTGGGAGCAGATGGTTCCAGAATGGATAAAGCTGGTCATTATTTAGAGCTAGGGGCAGAAATTGCACGTACATGTCATGAGTCATATGACAGAACTGGTAAGAGTATTAATAACACTAACTACTTAGACTAAAAGAACCTTTAAGTTAAAAATATGTTTAGTAATTAGAAGGAAAATATATAGATATTTAAGATAGATTGCTCTGCATTAGAGTAAATAATAAGAGAGTAAATCATTTTCTTAAGAACTTGAATTTTAATTCTGGAAATGTGTTCCTGTGTCATTTTTAAAAATTATTCTGAGTTTACTGATTTTGTTAATAAAGATTTTGAAGGAATTGTTTTAATGATGAAAGACAGGATGTTTGAGGATGTATGAGATGACATTATTTATTTTAATATAGTAAGAATCCATTTTAGCCATTCATTTTAGCTTCTGTAAAACTACTTAAATGAACACAGAGTTGACTGATTTAGGTTACTGCCTTGCATCTTCTTTTGTAAAAATAAGAATGACCAAAAGATAATAGTAGTTATATTGAATGTATAGTTGGTATCTAGGTAATTAGTAGTCTCTTAGCTCACCAATAATTTTTTAATTTGTGGTACCTGTCTCTTAAAAAGATCCTCTAATGTTGCTTTAGGCAAATATGTAATATTTCTGGGCTTCAGTGTCCTTACCCAGAAAATGGGATGGTTCTTTTTTTATTTTTTTTTTTTATTTTTTTTTTTTTATAAATTAATTTTTATTGGTGTTCAATTTACCAACATACAGAATAACACCCAGTGCTCATCCCGTCAAGTGTCCCCCTCCGTGCCCGTCACCCATTCACCCCCACCCCCCGCCCTCCTCCCCTTCCACCACCCCTAGTTCATTTCCCAGAGTTAGAAGTCTTTATGTTCTGTGTCCCTTTCTGATATCTCCCACACATTTATTCTCCCTTCCCTTATATTCCCCTTCACTATTATTCATATTCCCCAAATAAGTGAGAACATACACTGTTTGTCCTTCTCCGATTGACTTACTTCACTCAGCATAATACCCTCCAGTTCCATCCACGTTGAAGCAAATGGTGGGTATTTGTTGTTTCTAATGGCTGAGTAATATTCCATTGTATACATAAACCACATCTTCTTTATCCATTCATCTTTCGATGTGGGATGGTTCTTAAGGATGAAAAAAATTGGTCCTCAGAGGTGAAAAATATTTTTAATATATAAAGAATATATATATATATATATATATATATATATATATAGTCATATATAGACAAACAATGTATATTATTAAAATTTCATGGAGAGAGAAGGCCGTTAGGTTTTCTAAAAAGCCTGAAAAAGGATTGCGAAATACTGAAGTAGACCTTTCAAGATTTTTTTCTGGTTAGAAATGTGTTTCTATATGGAATAATGGAAAATGAGTTCCCAGAAGGACTAAAAATTAGGAAGTTTCTTTTTGTGATTTTGGAAGTTGAATTGTTGCTAATATGAAATAACTGAATTTCCATTTTAGGATTACTTGCCATCAGGTACCATGACAGAGATACGACCAGCTTAAAATTTATCCTAGTTCATCTAAGTTCATAAATCTGTTAGGTTATTTTTATATAATAAGGAATTGAACTTATGATGAAATTGACCTTTCAGGTCCCTCAGTAACTAAGGGATTCCATTTCTTGATAAAATACAACTAAGCAGATGTTATTTTAGAGTTAGCATATAGTATGTATAAAGTTGGTGATCTAATTATAAGTAGAAGCTAAATTATATTATCATGGTGATTATATAGAGTATCAAATATATATTTAAAATACAGCCAAAATTAGTAAAACCTTGAGGATCAGAATGGATATTCAGAATGTGTACTAGGACCCATGATAATAAAACTTGTGATGCAGATTTTGACCACAAATGAAATAATAGATGTAAAATAGTAGGATTTCATACAGCAGACATATTAAAAATATGATATACTGTTAATATAATTAATTATGCACTCCATTAAACATGGAGCACCAGTGATGTGCCAGGCATTACGCTGGATGCTTACAGATGAAAGTGTTAATAGGACATATCCCCTACTTTTGAGAAATTCATAGAATACCGGAGTTATGAGCAGACTCCTTGACTGTCACATTTGATAGAGACATTGCTGATACCGGTATGAAATACTGTGATACTGTAGAAAGGACATGTGGACTAGGATTAAAAAAAAATCCCATATTGATCCCTGGGTGGCGCAGCAGTTTAGCGCCTGCCTTTGGCCCAGGGCGCGATCCTGGAGACCCAGGATTGAATCCCACGTCGGGCTCCCGGTGCATGGAGCCTGCTTCTCCCTCTGTCTGTGTCTCTGCCTCTCTCTCTCTCTCTCTGTGTGTGTGACTATCATAAATAAAAAAAAATAAAAATTAAAAAAAAATAAAAAAAAAATTCCATATTCCACTATTTATTATCTCTGAACCTTAGGCAAATCATTTAACTTGACTAAGTCTCTGGTCCTCCATCTGCAAAAAACTCATAATAATACCTATCCTGTCTTCCTCAGTATGTTGTTGTGAGCATAAATGAAAGTTTAAACAATCCAGTCTGTGTTGCAGTTATACTGTTTCTGATGGTTACTCTCACATGGCAAGTCAGTGAACCTGTGACCCTCCTTGCCATGATATGTCCCAAAAGATTACCATTTGATTTGTGTCCTGTATTTTGAAGCCTTTCTCTTTAATCTCAGCTTAGATCCTCTAATCAAAAGGTACAATCCTAGTGTTGCTTCCGCCCCACTTGGTTATTTTATCTTGTGTTTAGGTATAGCTGTGCTATAATTTTTTGGCCAGCTTGTTTAAAAATATCCATTCACTTTTTAACAATTATTCCAGCTAAATTCATATGATGAGAACTTTGGAATTTCACTTTCATTTGTCACTGGAATTAGAATTAACTTTAATAATCTTCATATATTTTACCTTATTGATGAACATGGCCTCATCATGGCCTAATTTAGCTAGGAATAATTTGTAGGAAATATTGCTGAATCTGTTCATGAAACTAAGTAGTAACTCAGTGTACTTTTAGACATTATTGTATCTACATGGGAAGCTAGTTGATACCTTGTTTTAGTTTATTCTGAAGTATAATGCAGAATTGGAGCCAAACAAGATCTTAGACTTCTAAAATATAGTACTGGTCTTTTTCTGGGTTTTTAGATTTTTTTTAAAAAAAGTATTGAACCTGAATAAAATAATGACTGTTATTTAATTTAATTTACTTCTTATTAAACTTGCATAAGATTTTCCCTAGACCATGTGCTATTACATTTAGGGGAAATTTTAATGTTTAGATACATATAACTTATTCAATGGACAAAAGATACATTGGACATGGATTTTGGACCTACTTTAAGAGTTTCTACAAGTATTTTTTTCCTTAAAAGAAAGTTAATATGAGGGAAATAGTTTAAGTTCTTTCCTTACTGTTAGCTTACTGAAACTATAGTCAACTTGCCTGTCCCAGAATATTCCTTATGCTTTTTTATCTTTTGTTAAATTTCTTTTTGTTGACCTGAGTATGCTTATTTTTCCCATCTCTACAGATTCTACCTATATGGAGGACTCCTATGACTTGCAAATTAATTTATACTTTCTTTAAAATGTATCTTTTACTCTCCTATTATTGACCTTTGTCACATTTGATATTTTATTTTGATTTTTTTATTTGTGCATGTCTCTTTCCTTTGCCTACATTAAATGATTTTTGCATACTCTTAGAGTTCTTTTTACCTAGGCACTAAATTATTTATAGTTTCAACTCAATTTTTGCTTGTTGGATTAGTTTCCTTTTAGAAATGAAGTATCAAATGTAAATAGGAAATTTAAGATAGAAAATAGAAATTACAAGATAGATTAAGAAATTACTTTTTTACATTTCTTAAAGGAGCATCTATGAAATAATGCCCTCAGAAAAATGAAACCAGTAATTTGACCAGCTTAATGGATGTAATTGGTATATAATTTAGGCTGTGTGTTTTTATTTACCAACACTTCACAAAACATATATGTTCTCTTTTGCTGTGTTTTATTTTTGAAGTTATGAATAACATTAAGTGAGATATAATTTTTAATAGAAGTTTAAACTGTTAGTTCCATGCAGCCAATTTCTACTTCCAGTTCAGGCAATATTATCATTATAGAAGTTATTATCTAATTTTTAAATTTTTTTATTATCTAATTTAAAGATAGCCTTAAGATTAACATTTGAGAACTCCCTATGATCACCTGGCACTCGTTCTTTGAGAAAGGAAAAACATAAGAAATTCAGATAAAATGACTTCTTGTACTTTTTCATTGGATTGCCATGATCTCAGTGCTTATGATGTTTGACTTCTTATCATCACTTTAGAAGCATTTATTAAATGCCAAATGCTATTTGGTCATATGCTGACCTTGTCACTAAACTGGATAGAAGTTGTCTAACAAAAAATGTTGATGATTTGTTGGTTAATCCTAACCTCAACTCCCATTGAGGAGCTGGTCAAAGCTTTATGTGCACACAGTTTTGCGCCCAATTTCATAGCTTGCTTGAACAGAACATAGTCTTCTTCCAGAGCCTACCACAGACTTATGACCCTTAGGTTGAAAATCTTCTGCTTGGGTTCTGCTTTAGTTCTCAAAGACTTAGCAGTAAACTATTCTGGATCACATGTTTTGCTTTCAATAGAACTAGCTACCATTGGTGCAGTGTTTTTGATTTTATGTTTTTTCTTGGGGTTGGTAGTTGATGAGAAAGCCCTTATTTTCACATTTGTGTATGATTATTTAGAGCTTACAGTGTCTCCCTTGTAATGCTGAAATTTGGCTACAGCAACACGTCTTGCCAGCAACAATGCATGATTCTGTTTATGGTCTACCAGCATTATAGTTCTTATTTCACCTTTTCTTTTCTGAGGAAATATAAAAATGTCTGGAATTTTTTAAAAGAGGTTATAGACATTGAAACTATTTGCCACTAGTAAAAGGAAAGAAATATGGCAGCTGAGACTAGTAATTGTTTATGAGTCCAACATCCCAGTGGAAGAGGACTTTATATTGACAGATCTGGGTGTGATTAGAAAGAGGTTATTAAAAAGACTTTCATATAGTGCTGTATTCTAGCCTGAATGGAAATCATATCATTCAAAAAATATTATGTAGTGTTGAAATATAGGTATAATGGCCCTATTTTATTCAAACTAATAAATGGGCAGTACTGATAATTCTTGGTGATGGTAGTTTGAATCTCTTCTTGCTATATATACACAGAAGCTATAGGAGAAAAGAGTTTATTTTTACAACTGACTTAAATTTGAAAATATATTGCTTTTTATATACTCTAGGATGCTTAAAAAAAGTGTATAATCCACACCTGAATCTAATTCAAGATCCTAGCTCTAAAATGTTTTCTTACATTTATATGTTATATTAAAAGGACTTTAAAATTGTCCTGACTAAAAAAATAATTCTGCACAGTACAATTATCTGTCTCATTTTATTTTGGAACAAAACAGAATATGTAATGTGTTTATGTCTAGCTTTGCATTTGTTGCCAGAGGATTACTAGACTCTTGTCAGTATGGTTGGATTTAGCAGTATATTGATGTACATTATGTATGAGAAGTGTTTCATGTCAGGATAATAAGAATATTTATAAGTCTATTATAAGAAAACCAAATGTGGATCTTTTAAAGTCAATGATTTTGCAAAACAGCAACAATAAATATAAAACAAAATTAACATAACTTTACATTATACCCCATTCTTTCAGGGAAAAAAGCAGCTCTGGTGAACAAACACAAATGGTTTATTATGCTCATTTGTTTCTTTTGTCATGTTACAGCATTAAAGCTGGGTCCTGAATCATTCAAGTTTGATGGTGCAGTAGAGGCTGTGGCAGTCCGGCAGGCTGAAAAGTATTACATCCTCCGTCCAGAAGTAATTGAAACCTATTGGTACCTATGGCGATTCACTCATGATCCAAGATATAGACAATGGGGCTGGGAAGCAGCACTGGTAAATAAGCCAATATTTCTTATATGCAAGAGTATTAAATCAAGCCTTCCTGTAGTACCGTATGTCCTCATCCATGTTACCTCATGTTTAGTAATTATAGTGCTACTTTCATTTATCTGATGGAAAAACTCTGTTACTCAATTTAAATTTCTTTGCTTTTTTTTTTTTTTTAAGATTTTATTTATTTATTTCAGAGAGAGGGGGACAGCATGACCAAGGGAGGGGCAGAGGGAGATGGAGAAGCAGAGTCCCTGCTGAGCCTGGAGCACATACATCCCAGACTCAATTCCAGGACCAAGATCATAACCTGGGCTAAACTCAGACGTTCAACTAACTGAGCCACCCAGACACCCCTCAGTTTAAGTTACTTAAGCAGTAGAAGTAAAACTTAGAATCAGCTTAGTTCTTGATTAAAATTACTTTTCTACTGGTGTTCACTCCTTTTCTTCTTGAATAACTATAAGAAGTCATTTAAAAGGCATTATGGGTTTCAGTATGATTATACAGTTTCTGTACTTGCCAATTAAGGCTTAACCTCTGGGGGGAAAAACCCAACATTTTAAGACTGTCCAGACTCACAGCTTGGGTAGATTACCCACTATTCACTTCAGTTTGTGTTCTAAGTAGTTTCTTAGTGGACCATCATAAGAAGAATCAGTGAATTGTTAAAATTTTTCCAGATTGAAAGACTCTTTATTTACTTACCTATTTATGAGAATTGTTAATGGTTAGTAAAGAAGGCCACTGGTTTATTCTTAAAATACTAGCCTTGCAGAGAACACTGTGGCTATCAGTACCTGGTGAGGAAGAAAAATATTAGTCTTCTCATGAAAGTATATCTTATTCCTGGGAGTGAATGTTTTGTTCTTTGAGATATACTAATTATGATAAATAGCACTAATTATGATGAATATTCATATTCCAGTTTAACTTAAGCTTGCAGGCTAGATAGAATGATGACATTCTAGGTTAAGATAAATAGTGTTAATAAATTGCTTAGGTAAGAATGTGCAGGATACATTTTAGGGCAGAATGTAGACCAGTTTATGTAGAAAGAAGGTTTCACAGTGGCAACCAGAGGGAGTGAAGTTTGGAACCATTAGGTAGATGATCTTACATGCCAGATCATGGGGTGTGTACTTTACTCAGTGGTTCAAGAATAACTCCGCACACACAAATACACAAATAGACACCTCTCTGAGTTACTGCATAAGTGCTTCTCATACAGGAGGTGGATATAGAAAGTCTTTAGCCTGTCAAAAAAGCCTGTCACATCATCATTTTCCTTACCATCTCCTGCTTACCAAGACTCCCTAACTTGAAGAGTGCATTCTAGGACTAAAGGTTTTTCTAAGGGAAAAGAGCCACTGAAGACTTTTTAGTGGAAGTAACCAAGCAAAGGCTTCGATTATAAACTGCAGATTGCTGGGTTTTGGAGGCCGCTACCAGTGATGTAGAAATAGTTTGATAAAGACTTGAACTATGGTGAGGACACTTCTATGTCATTTGTCATTCAGACCTAGATAGTCCTTGTGGAGTTTAACAAAAAGAGAATGTTAATGGAAGCAAAGTGGTTACATAGAACAGAAATAGATGCCGTCATTTGTTGAGCCTGCCTTCCCTGGCCTCTTGGTTCCAGAAATGGGAATATAACTGCTAGTGAACTTCTCTTTGCAGGGACCTGCCATGGTCACTGTTGTCACAGTGGTTCAGGGATAGGACACACATACACTTCGTTCGGTTGGTAGCAGTGGCTAGCCAATGCTATGTACATTAAGCAGTATTTTATATACAAGATATAGGTAAAGTAACCCTGCAATAGATCTGAATTGAATGCCCCTTATATTTAATGATTCTTATTCAGAGGAATAAGGAAAATATATCTGAATCATGTGGTGCAGCAGGGTGAGGTTTGGTGATGGAAAAATGTCCTCTCAGTGAGAAATACTGTGGGATAATCTATCCTTTTCCTAAGGTTCTTTTTTCCTGTGCACCTTCTTAAAGTATGACCCTAGTCTATTAAAAAGAGGTTTCACAAGCTCAAGCTTTAACCTAAATCTGTCCTGAATAACAGATGTTAGATTTTTGTTTCTATAGTGTAGATACACAGATACACAGACTCAGAGTATAAAGAACAAGTTGGGCTCCATGCTAGGTGTGGAGTCTAAAAAAAAAAAAAAAACAAAACAAAAAACAGACAAAAAAACTTAAAAAAATCTACAAAGAACATAAACTGAAATAATTATACTTTAAAGTCAAATTTCAGAAGTATGCCGTGATGAGGGGAAGGTGGAGACAAAAGAGGAAGACTCACTTCTTAAATAAAAGTGACTTTCTTGTCTATCGCTGTTGGGTGTGAAGAAGGTGAAGGGAAGACAAACTGAAACAGAAGAACAGTATCTTGTATGTCTTCTGTAGCTTAGGTATGCCCTTCGTATATATATTTGCATGGAAACTTGCCTTCAAGAAATGACTCTAAATGGCTTAAAAATCAGTCATGCCTCCCTGCTATTTTCTCAGTATCCTTAAACTACTCTGATAGTTTCCTGGTGGTGAAGACATAATAATCATTGCACAGAACATGACATTTAACAACTCTTGAATTCAAAATATGTTTAAAATATTTAGATAGAGAAGGGTGCCTGGGTGGCTCAGTGGGTTGAGCAGCTGACTCTTGATTTCAGCTCAGGTCATGATCTTAGGGTCCTGAGATCGAGCCCTGTGTGAGGCTCCATGCTCAGCAAGGAGTCACTCCCTTTCTCTCTCTGTTCCTTCCTCTGTGTACACACATGCACATGTGCTTTCTCTTTCTCTGTCTCTCTCAAATAAGTAAATCTTTAGAAAAAATTTAGAGAAAAGTACCAATCTCTTTGGTAAGAAGATTTTTAAAACCCAGCTATAGTAAAAATGGAACTATATAAAACTGAACAGCTTGATTAAATAAAAACTTTCTGTGTTAATTAGCTTTTCGTTAGGAGGAAGACCAGAAGAGTAAAAAAGATAGCAAGATTAGGAACAAGAAGCCATGGCAGTAATGATTAAATAAATGATTAAATACCTTCATTAGGCAGTATCTCAGGATTAGGTAGACTAGAGAAGAAAATCACATGTGATTCAACTTCTTGCGAATGGCTTAATTTTGGAGGGTGATATGCCTGCATAAGCAGGGTATTTGCTTACTTTGAATTAAAAACAGAGTTTTGAATGGGTTCCATTTGATTCAGTATATTTTATTTAGACATGTTCAATTTTGCAAGAACAGATATAAATTAAGAATTTTAGCTCCCACTTGGGAAGGAGAGCACAGTAGTTAATAATAATGTGGAGCAAATGACTCTTGGCCTTAGTTTTCCCATCTGAGAAATAGAGACTATTAAGACAACCTCATGAGTTGTTGGGAGATTTAAACATTGATACATGTGAAGCCCTTAGAAGAGCCTTCAGCACATAGCAAAGACTTCATAATGGGTAGCTCTTAATATTGTAATTATTATTGTAGTAGGTATGTCGTGGGTACTTCCTGCCAGTTGGTACCACCTGTAATGCCTAAGTCCTGGAATTGTAATACATTGTCTATCATACAGTATGTTTCCAGTAAATATTACCTCATTATTATTACTAAGGAAAGCACCTAGGTAATGGTTTTTTTAGAAGCATGTTTTGAATTTTTTATCCTTAGAATTGAAAAGATTGCCTTTAAAATTTAATTCAAACTGACCTCCCCTGATTTGTCAAAATTAATGAGACTTTATTGTGCCAAACAAGTCTCTAAATCAGCATAAATAGCCTAAATTTGACTTTCCCAAGTGAGAAAAATGTAGGATGTTTTTTAAAAGAGTAAAGAATTTGGGAGAGGAGAAAGTTCCACAGAAAACAGGATACCTCAGTTAATTTTTCCAGTGTGAGAATATTTCCATTTGATAATAAATCTTACTCTTAACCTGTCAAATTCTCAGACAGATCTTTGTGAACTTTTGACTGATTCCTTAATTTATCCTTCAAAACTTGAAATTCATTGGAATTGATTCCTTTGTCTGATCTCTTTCATAGGCTATTGAAAAGTATTGCCGAGTAAGTGGTGGATTTTCTGGGGTGAAGGATGTGTATTCCTCTACTCCTACACATGATGATGTACAGCAGAGCTTCTTTCTTGCTGAAACATTAAAGTAAGTAGATGCCTTTAAAAATTTTTATTGTAGGCTGGTTTTGCTGTATGATCACTACAATGATGAATTATGACTATGTAATATGTTACACCAGATTTTATTACAAATATCTTTTTATGTAATTGGGTCTTAAATTTTTAACTGCATCTCAAGAAGAAGGACCTTAACCATAAGGTAGATTATTTTGTCAAATAAGAGTTTAGAACCTTTGTTCTTGGCTCTGGGGTGTGCATTAGAATCTCCTGGGAGACTCCTAAATACATAGATCACTGGGCCATATCCAGAGAGTTTCTGATTCAGCAGGTCTAGGGTGAAACCTAAGAATTTGCATTTCTGACAAACTCTCAACAAATACTGGTGATTCTGGTCCTGGGACCATACCTGAACTCCCTGCTCTAGCTAATGAAATGAGTTCTGAATAATGGAGTTTTGATGGTACTACAGGGTATGTGACCATAGTCATCTACTCTCCCTGTGAGGTTTCCTATAAAGATACATACAAAAGGAAGAGTGGAAAAGACAGCTATTATTTGAGCTTATACTCAGAACTCCAGGCAGAGCTCTATAAACTGTCCTGGAAGAAGGTGGTGACCTGAAATGTGTCCTCTTCCATAAGGATGTACAAAGTAAATATCTTTTGATACTTTCTCTTAAATTTCATATTTCTATTTCCTGTCTATACCTAAATGCCTCATAAACCATTACTTCATTTGTTCAAAAAAAAAGTTTATTTCCAGGCATTGTTCAGGTTACTTGGGGGACATATCAGTAGATAAAAAAGCCAAAACCCCTACTCTCTTGCAGTCCATATTCTAGTATACTCATAACTTACATCTTGGGACATTAAAATTGAAATGTACATATCTCAAACTAGGTTTGTTAACCTAAATGACTATCTTATTCCAATTTTTCTTTTATATTATCCCTAGTACTCTTCCCATCTTTTCAGCTTCCATTATAAAGTTATTTCTTTTTTCTTAATATATCACTAAGTCTTTATGATTCCTGTTACACTCTTTCTTTATTTTGCCCCCTCCTTTCTGTATCTGTGACTGACCCTAACCCAGGCCTTTTGTTGCTGCTCATGGTTTAGAACACCTGCTTGGTAGTTAGTCCCAGGACTCTGGTCACCCCTTACCCCTTGTTGGACTCGTCCTGTGTGGTTAGGCTAAGATCATGTGAGACAGTGCTGGGCGCAGAGATAAGACCATAGCAGCTTGAGTTATACCCTAGCTGGACGAGCATGGCAAAACAAGACTTTTTTTGCCTTCAGTTTTCAATATTCATAAACTGTGGAATTTGACCCAAATTATGTAAGATCTCTTGCTTTTTTTAGACCAGGAAAATTGTAAGGCTAGCACAATGAATGTTTGTGTATCCTTCAACTAAATTCACCAATTGTCAATTTCTACCACAGTCATCTGCCTCTGTGTATATATGTCTGCATATATATACACATACACACAGGGTGAAACCTAACATACACACAGTTTTATTGTTTTGAAAAAATTAGTTTATTTATGCACTGTAATTTGAGAGTTACCAGCATTCTGATACTTAAGAGAAAGGGAAATAATCCTACATAACCACAGTCCAGTTATCACATTTGTGAAACTTAACATTCATATAATATTGTTTACTATATATCCTACTTTTAGATTTCTCAGTTCTAATAATGTACCTACAACTATTTATTTTTAATTCTAGTCTAGGATCCAATAAAGGATCATTGTTTTGCGTTTGGATGTTATATTTCTTTAGTTTTTTATAAGCTAGAGCAAAGTGTTCTTGTTTTGCTTCCATGGCTTATGATATTGACATAAGTATTCAGGCTAGTTACTCTGGAGAATGTTTCTCAGTTTAGATATTTGTGATTGTTTCCTCATGATTGGTTTTAGGTTAAGGATTTTTGGTATGATCATTGTATAGATGATGTGTCCTCATTGCATCTTCTAAAGAGGTTAGCCCATTACTGGTGACTCTAAGTTTGATCATAAGGTTAGATTTGATTACAAGGTCATGTAAAGAATCTAATTTCTTTTTGTAAATAATAAGTGGTCTGTGGAGTGATAACTCCCAGACTGGGTGAATATCCTTTTTCCAACTGTCTTTCATCCAGTATTGTTAGCATCTTGCTCAATGAACTATTATTGTAGTAGTGGTAAAATGCTATTTTAAGGCTTCTTCTAGTCTGAAAAAGAAATTACTTTATTTTCAACATTTATTATAACCATTTTCTTCATGTCACTCTCCTGCTCAAAAAGCTGCAGTGATTCATTCATCTCTAGCTTCATTTCTTCTCTCTTTTACTATAGATTCTGTCCTTAAAATAAGCTAATCTATAGTGAAAGTTAATTTAATTCTCAAATTCCTCATCAGTATAAACCTTGAGCACTTTAGTACATGGGACAGTGTTGTAAATATGTGCCATGCTGCCTTTCCCTTTCCAGTACGTATATGGAATATCACCAGATCTCCAGTTGACCTTCATACTTTTCACTCCTGAGTTCAGGAAGAACCCTTTTGAACATAGCACTCTAGGCAACGTGTGTGTGTGTGTGTGTGTGTGTGTGTGTGTACATATGTGTATATATATATAAAATTTCTCATAATACTTAACCTTCAGGAAAACATATATACCTTTGGGTCAATAAAAATGAAAAAAGTCAGTAATTATACAGTTAATTGTAACAGAATCTAGGCTAAGGAAATTCTCACAGTTGAGTACTACATTCAGCACTGAGCTTCCTAGTAGCCTAAGCAGAAAGGAAGCATCTTGTTCAGTGTCATTCTCATCTTTGTGAGTTGGGAAAACACATTTACCTTAACAAATGAGACAAAAGTTTTTCTTACTGCTAAATTATAAGATGACTTAATTTGATAGCTCATTATTAAAGATTGAACTATTAGACAAACCACATAAAAATGCCCTTTTTATAAGTCAAAAAGTGTTGAACACTGGCAATTCTACATGGTTCACCCTAGTACATAATGGCAATTGTCCTCAAACAGTGATGTTATAGAAGATGCCAAACTCTTACTTTCTCTTACTCTTTATAAAAACTAATGGCATAATATAGAATGCATTTGAGTCAAAGACATTTCTGTGAAGACTAATATAGGTTTATATTTTTCTTATTATTAAGATAAAACTACAGGGGAATGAAGAGTAGTATGACTTCACAGATTTTTCTCAAAAACCAATTAATTTAAACAGGCCTTTATGAGAAGCTAAGTTAACTTTTAACTGAAGATTGTATATTCTATCAAGTGGTTCAGATTTATTGTTAATTTGTTAAAGGGCAATAATCTATTAGTTTTTAGCTACCGGAGATGGTAACTGATTAGCTTGGCATTAGCAAAGTTAAATGTAAAAACCTGTGTTCTTGTCCTAGTTGAGGCACCATTTAACCTTTTACATATTGTTGGGATGCTGTACTGTAGTTGTACTTATAGCTAGATGTTGTTCTCCAGAAGATACTGTGTCCTCTGTTCCTTTTGTTTCCCTGAGTAGCTGCTAATTTGATTATTGCTACAGCGTGTATACTGATGCCATGATAAAAACTATGAAATGAGTAAGGTCAGAGATAGATTCCTTCAAAGCCTCTTTCCTTAAAACTCTTAATTCTAGTAGAGGAAATAAAACATACAGATTTGCAAAAAAAAAAATGTTATACATAGTAAGTGTATGAGAGAGATGTTAATACAGGTGAGCAAGTTTTCTGGAGGAGGAAGAGTTTACTTAACCTAGAAAGCATAAAGGAAGATTTCATGGAAGTGGTGGCATTTAAACCAGACTTGAAGGCAAGATGGGGGTAGAGTAGGGTGAATCAGTATTTGGGGAATAGCTCTAAGGCAGACAATGAAATATTAAGGATGAGATACAAGCACTCTTTAGTTCATTGGCAAGTGCTAGTATCTTACTAGATCTAGAGCAGTTCAGAAAGAAGGAAGAGTACGAGATAACAGTAAAGTTTTCAGTGTGGGTAACTGTAAGGATTAGGACACCAAGTTGCAAGAAGAAATAGATTTTCAGAAAAGATAATGAGTTACTTTTGACATATGTTCCCAAGAGGCATTTGAAAATATAGATCTGGAGCTCAAAATACAAGTTCAGGAAGATTTTTGAGGATGAGCAGAAAAGAAAGCATGCATCTGACCCTTTGAAGATGCCTACATGTAACAAAGGAGGCGTTCGAGGTTAGCTTAGCAGAGTGAACACTTGTATTTATCCTCCACTCCCTCTTGAAAGCCATTAAAATGATTATAGAGGGCTAAGAAGGTGTAAAGGACAAAGACGAAAGAAACGAGAAAGAAATGAACAGCAGATGGAGATGTCAGCACATTGGAGATGTCAGCACATTTTTAGAAGATGGAAGACAGAGCTAAGCACCTGCATGGGGAGAGGCTAACTGAAAGAAACTGGGGAATGCTTCAGAATCTTGGAGAGACTCAGTAGGGTATCTGGTAGGATGGAGAACTGTAGAATTTCTGACTAAGTTTATACAAGGAGTGGCTATATACCCCTGCCTCATCTCTACTGTGAATGAAACTTGAAATTTCTTGTCTGAAGAGGTCAAATCAAGGAGGCTGTGGATTGAGGGATGCCAGGTGCAGCTGAAAGAACTCAGGAGATTGGAGCATTCCTTTCTAGGAAATGGGTCAGCCTATAAGAAGAAAAACTAGAGATACAGTTATGTGAGCTTCCCTCAGCAAAATGACCACATCCGCCTATCCCCCAGTGGTGCAGCCATCAGTGAATGCCAACATAACTACAGTTTCTAATATGCATTAGGGACCTCACTTTTAAATATTAATGGGCGGTATTGACTTAGAAATACGTAACAAACTAGACGTTTATGTATGTGTACAATTTATTTAAAAAAAACAAAATATGAATACAACAAGGTAACTCAAGAAAATATCCCAGCACTGAAGGATATGAGTTTCCAGATTGAAAGCAGCCATCAAGATGCTAGCACAATGGATGAAAACAGACC